GCATGAATGTTCCAGTAAAGCCAATCGACAGCTGGTCAAGAGGAATCCGCCGTCGTCTTCTGGTGGAACGAATCTTCGAATCTTTCCAACCAACACTTTGACTCGAAATGGAAGTAAGCTCAACAATCAGTGTATCAGGACAGAAAGTTGGTCAAGGGATTGGTGGTAATTCAAAATAGCCTCGACACGCTGACCACTACGTCAGACCTCCACGAGTGCCCATTAGTCAAAGGGCAGAAGTGGAGTTCGAGGAAGCCTCGGCATTTGGGAAAGCAAGGCTATGTGAAATACAATGAAAACGTCATGTCTACTCATATCAGGGTGGGAAAATTCAACTACCATTCCCCTCATCACCTTAAACGAAATAGAGTGAATACATCTCATATATATGGTTTACTGGGGCTCTCGAAAATCTGTGTATAAAAGGAAAAATAAATGTACTATTTTTCTCTATTGCTTAACACAATGCTCTATGCAAGGGCCAATTCGTCTGGATGAGCCTCATTAAAACATAGGACACATTACAAGATCCAATTACTATACTTTATCCACAATAGCTGGCATAAGCTGATTTGCACCAACTTCCAAAGGTTGCGTATTAGCCATTCTCAACTGCTGTATTTCAATCTATGGCTCAATCAAAGCCAGTGTCTATGGCTCAACCAAAATGATAAAAATACAACTGAGGTATAATGGACTCCGAGTATTTGGTCCATTTACGCCAATATTTGTCATCCTCGTCACGCTTGGGCGGACTTCTGCTCAGCAGCAATCCACCAGTGACCACAACATCGTCATGGAGCCATCCGCAAATGCTGGCGGCCTCAAGAAATCCATAAAACAGATTATTTCCGAGGCTCTTCAAAGGTAGAAAGCCCACCTGACCCTAAATTAGGAAAGGAATGAAAAAAACTTGGGCGAGCTGAAGTCTGGAAGTGGTCAGTAATGGAGCAATTCTAAAGTGGATGCAAAGTGATGTTCTGAAGAGGCGCGGCACCATCGCAATGATGTGGCCCTGATTAACTATCACAAACAATTTTCATTAGCAACATTGACACATGACAATCAGGCTCCTCAGCACTGAGCCCAGGTATGAATAGAGCTGATCGGATGGTGAGAAGTTGTGGTCCAGTGCTTGTATTATCGCCAAAGACCAAACTAAGGGTAGAGCTTAAGGCAAGCCGCTTCACTAAAGGAGTCTATCATGAGTCTCCAGGCGAAGTTAGTCAGCAATAATCAGATCTTGAGGCCCTAATCCATAGGCTAAATCGATTCTAAGTCTAAGAAAAAAGAGCAGTATTGAGGTTAAAATGGAGGCAAAGATGCAGAATACATTCAACAATATTTGAAACAGCACTTTTACCGGCATATAGTGGCTCAGATGCATCGTTATCGACATCATCGGTAGATAATTTGGCATTGTGCTGCATTTGTGGCACCAATCATGTCAAATCGAAAATAAACTATTTGTTTTGAATACATAATTACAACTGACTAGAAGTGTTTTTTGAGAGTGCAAAACTTCATATAGACCAGACCTCTCTCAAAATAGAGGCAGACGAACATTCACGTTGTAGTAGCTTTCATTTGGTTTTAATAGGTGAGTAGAAGGGATTCGTAAGTTGGTTCCACCGGGGCTGTGGTTGTAGATTTGTGCGAATAAGTCTTCGGCGCACCGCCCTGCGACCCCGATGAATCCTTGCTGGGCTTTCGTCCGACCGGTCATGGACATCGTCAGAGCAGGATACAATGGCTAACGATAATTCACCAAAAAAACACGAAGAAAAGAAGGGTGTTCAGCTTCGAACCTACTTCCTTCTTATAGTCGAACTTTGTCCACTTAAGCATCTCATGTTTGGGTTGGACATCCTATACTTTATCTCGATATTTGCTCATAGGTTAAGTTAAGTGGCTACAGAGGAAACTTGAAATGGGTGCAATTGAAACCGAACAGCTGCATCTTCCCCCAAGACGCATGCCTCTGATTCTGTAATGTTACCGCATGTCATTGCGTCCCATTGCACACGTGTTGTGTGAATACAATGCCATTTAAATGAGTGTGATGTGAGAGTCAAAACCAGATTTTAGCCTAATCAGGCCTCCTCCTCTTGCTCGGTGCTACTTCTCGTTCCACTCCTCTCTCTCTAAACCTATCCGACAGCCACAAATAGTTTCCGCTTAACTTCCTACACCCATTTTTTCTATTCAGGATGCTGTCTGTTTTGTAGATTTCTTTCGCCTCCCCAATAATTCGCCTACTGGCTGGTACAGTCCACATGTCCAGCTAAGCGTTTGGAATTAGACCAATCTATCTTGTATTGTGTCCAGGCCATATGTTCGGCCAATTCCGATTCTTGGACCCACATAGTGCTTTGTTTTAGAATAACCTGTTATGTATGGGCCTACAGGTCTCTCCCACATTGGCACTACTACATGAACACAAAATCTTGTAACAGCCCGATCTAAAGAGCGGGTCAGTATCCTCTAAAAGAAGGCATTACCGACGAAAGTCTTATTTTCTCTTTATATGTGGTCCTGATGTAATTTGTCTATATTCCTCGACAGACTATACGATGGTATTCACACAACACGTGTGCAATGGGACGCAATGACATGTGGTAACATTGCAGAATCAAAGGGATGTGTCTTGGGGGAGGAGCAGCTGCTCAGTTTCAATTGCACCCATTTCACGCTTCCTTTGTAGCCACTTAACCTATGAGCAAATATAGAGATAAAGTATAGGATGTCCAACCAAAAGATGAGATGCTCAAGTGGACCAAGTTGGACTATAAGAAGAAAGTAGGTTTTAGGCTGGCCACCCTTCTTGTACTTGTGTTTTTTAAAATTATTGTTAGCCATTGTGTCCTGCTCTCACGGTGTCCGTGACCGGTCGGACGAAAACTCAGCAAGGATTCATCGGAGTCTCAGAGCGGTGCGCCGAAGACCTATTCGCACAAATCTACAACCACAGCACCGGATGGAACCAACTTACGAATCCCTTCTACCCGCCTC